CTATTACTACTAATACTATGAATATCATTATCATCTACACTTTCTTTCATTATTTTATCTAGACCTGACATAATTTTCTCCGCATCTAAATTTACTAAACTTTCAATTTCAAGATTTTTCTTCTTCCTCATATTAAATTGCTCATTTTCGAAATCTTCTGCTTCTTGTAAAAATTCATAATCATCATCTTCAAATACCTCTCAAACTTCAGATGGTACTTCTGGACATAAATCTGCCAAATGCTCTTCACATAATTTTGGTGATCCCTTATACCAATATTTTTACAATAGCACAGGAACATTATAATGTCCTTTTGAAATTTGTCGACCTTGTTTAATATGTGTTGCCCATAATATAGATTTTGGTTTTCCACTTTGCTTTTTTTTGTATTAAGTTGAAAAGAATATTCTTGTTCGGGTAAAGACATGGTAAATGTTATACTAACATGTTAGATTGTTGATCCAATATACGAAAACCCTTTTTTAATATATTGTATTATCACATTGTAAATTTCCATTAAAAAATAAATTATTTAAATTATCCGAATGTAAAAAAATCGAAAAATTAAAGTTCCAAAAAATAATAAATAAATAAATAAATTACGGTTAAAACCATTTTAGACAAATAGTGTTACATTTTGATTTATAGAATTAACTAACCTATTTTAGATAAAATATTCTTAGTGATCGGATGGTATCGGAAAACTAAAATATTTCGGAATAATATCGGATTTTCGCCCAAATTACGGAATTTAGGAACAAATTTCGAATCAGCTCTCAAAATCCGAAATATTTAGGATTTGAAAATAGGGTTTCGCCCACAGCATTAGATTAAGTCATTAGAATCATTGGGATTAAATACAGATATTCACATCCTGAAATTACTATTCAATACTCAGATAAAGTAATGATCTTGTTTTGAAAATATCAAGATAACGTATCCTAAAGATCTATTTACTTCTTTTTTCACAAAAAGGATTTCTTCTTTTTTTTGCAATAGATGTTTACTACTGCTTTTAATTCAAAGAAAGAAGGTCTCATTGGAAGTTAATGATGAACTGAAAATGAATAAGATTTTTATTTACTAATTTTATATTAATTATTTTTTCTTCTTTTCATAATTAAATAAAATTTGCATTTTAGGTTGAAAATATACATGGTAAACGCGAAATACAGTAATTCTTTACAAGCTTTACTAGGATTAATGCTGCATGAACTAAGAATCATTGTCGATTGCCAAATTGAGATATATTACTTTATTGATTTATATTATTTTATTTATTTAAAATTATCTAATATATGATAATTACATGCATCTGAAACTAAGAAATAATAAAAAATAATTGCAAATATAAATTGGATTTTTAATTTTTTTTTAAATATTTTTAATTTCAATTTCTTTAATAAAGATTTTATAAAGTTCATAATTTTTA